GAGACGGAGTCTCGCCCTGTTGCCCAGGCTGGAGTGCAGTGGTGTGATCTCAGCTCACTGCAGCCTCCACCTCCCGAGTTCAAGTGATTCTCCTGCCTCAGCCTCCCAAGTAGCTGGTGGCTACAGGTTCGCACAACCACACCTAGGTAATTTTTTTTTGTATTTTTTTGGTAGAAATGATGTTTCATCTCCGCCAAATGAGCTCACTGTAGCCTCAAACACCTGGGCTCAAGTGATCCTTCTACCTCGGCCTCCCAAAGCGCTAGGATTCCAGGCATGAGCCACCATGCCCTGCCCTTTCTTCTACTTTCTTTAACTTTACTTTGCTGTTGGTCTCACACTCTTTAGGTCTGACTTGTGCTTGCTCATGGTCACCTTGGTTTGTGCCCTTTGCAGAACAGTTTTTCAGAGGCATACAGTTTTCTGTGTGTTTATTTTTAATGAAGAGAGGAAATCTGGGGTGATAGAAGTTGAAGTGTTAGGAATGATGTCATCTTGCAGAACTAAGTTTTAGCCATTATCAGCTGTACTTAAAATTCTAATATACTCTAGTCGACAAGGCTTTGGAATACAGCTTATAACTGTGACTCTTGTTTTTCCCCTTCCCCTGGCAGGACCCGCTGGGGCCCAGCCCCTACTCATGGTGCCCAGAAGACCTGGCTATGGCACCATGGGCAAACCCATTAAACTTCTGGCTAACTGTTTTCAAGTTGAAATCCCAAAGATTGATGTCTACCTCTATGAGGTAGATATTAAACCCGACAAGTGTCCTAGGAGAGTGAACAGGTAAGAATCATGAAACTGCAAAGATCTTTTGCTGTTTTTTTCCTTAGTAATTATCCATGTTTATCTTGTGTATCTAAATAACAATTACAGTGTGTAACAGTTTGACCAAGAACATCTGGTAATTTGTTTTAAAATTGATTGTACTTGAGAGGTGTGATAGTGGGGAAAAAATCTTTGAAATTATTTTATTATAACATGAGCTCACATTTTCCCTGTGATAATAGAAAAGATCCAAGTTATTTTTACATGCTCCTGAAATCAGGCTGTACATCATGAGCACATCATTTTCCTTGCTGTTAGGTAATATGTCCGTGCTTGCTTTTTTCTCCTCACCTACCTTATGCACCACTTTCATAATGTTCCCTTTAAGATGATGGTGGTGATGATAGCAGTGGGGACTAGAAATAGTGGTTTCATGTTTTCTTTTCTCCTTTCCCAATTCCCGACTGTTTCTTACTATTATATAGGAATAAGTACAGATGGTATATAAAGATTTATCAGCCTGCTTTCAGTAAGCTTCCTCTCGCCTCCCCAAAATGCCATTTATATTACTGGATGTGGTTTAGGTAATACAGGAAATATAAGAGGAATTTATGATTGGGTATATACTATGTCTGTTTGGATTTTGTTTTTAAAAGGAAAGACAGCACATTTAAAAAAAACAATGTGATATTCAGTTTAGCATTTTGGTTTCTATGATCCCAACCTTTTCTTATTCAATAAATGTTATTAAGAGTCTTCATTTAAGACATTTAAGAAAAAGAATGTTGTTTCTCTCAAGAAATTTGTAATTTGGTAGAGGAGATAAGATACCTAAGAAATATGAAGGTCTTTTTCTTGGGCTTGTCATGCTAATTGTTAATATTTCTGCTATACCTGAAAATGAATGAGCACTAAAAGACTTTGTGGTAACATGTTAAAAAACAACAATACCTATAGGAATGTTGTAATTAACATGTAATGCAGAGTTCTTTGTGAGGTCAGGAAGACTCCTAGAGTATTACAGTTGCAAGGAACCTCTTAGGAAGTTAACTAATCCAATACCCTTTTTATTTATAGCTGAAATCCAGAAAGGTTAAGGGATTTAGTCAAGAACACACGTTTCAAGTAGGAAAGGTGAAATCAGAACTCCAGAATCCTGACTTGGTAGTCATTAGGAAGTATTTTGTAAAAGGAGAAGTTAATCTAAAACAATTGGTAAAATTTTGGTTAGCTGTAGTAAAAATAACATACATATAATTTTATTTATTTTTTTATTTGTTTATTTATTTATTTTTGAAGGAAGGATAGCAGTAACAAAAGCATAATGGTTGAGAAGAACCAGGTGTATTGAGTGTGAACCAGGCTTAAGGGGAAGATTCTCTGCATTACATGTTAATTACAAGATTCCTATAGGTGTTGTTGGTTTTTATTTTAACATGTTATCAGATACTACTTTAAGATACTATCTGTGAATAGATAGATGACTCCTAATCTTGCCCTTGCCTCTACCTCTTTCCTAAACTTCAGATTGACACGCGAATGTTCCTAAAGTGAACAACGCAAGTCAAAAGAGTAGTGCCCTACTCTTCTGTGACCTAGTGGTACTTGGTGTATGCTTCCATTATGGCGTTTTTAGTGCATTGTGGTTATTTTTCTCCCTTTCCCCAGTATAACCCCTTCATGAAAAGTAGTGTTTTTTATCATCTTTGTCACCCCATGTCAGCTCAGTGATTGGCACATAATACTCAGTAAAGTGAATGAAATGCTTATAAAATGGCATGAGTGTGATGATAGGGGACAGGAAAGAAAACTGGATGTTCTAGAGGGCTGTTATACTGGAACATGGGTTTTTCAGTGCCCTACTCTTATCTCCTAGGATCTTAGGCTAGTCTTGGTCTTGGTCTCCCTTCACTGTCTTTTATATCTTTCTGTGAGCCGTCATCCACTTATGGGGACTTAACTGACTCATGCTGTACTCTCATGGAGATTCCCTTTTTCTTTTTTCTCAAAACTGGGTCATTAATGTGTAGATTTGAGTGAAGGGTAATGCTGACCCTTCTGGTAGATATTTACATTTTAAAAAGGCATTTATTAAGCTGGGCCATGGGCCTGTAGTCCCAGCTACTCTGAAGGCTGAGGCGGGAGGATTACTTAAGCCCAGCAGTTAAGATTGCAGTGTGTTGTATTTGTGCCTGTGAATAGCCACTGCACTCCAGCCGGGGCAACATGGTGAGACCATGTATCTAAAAAATAAATAAAAATAAAAAGGCATTAGTTAATCTAAGTAAAGATCTGGAGCTTGAGGAAGGTCAATTCAAGTTTTTTTAGTATGCCAGATGAGTTACAAGGAAATGATGTTGTGGTAAAAATATTAAGTAAAAGGAATAGAATTTTTTTTTTTGAGATGGAGTCTCGCGCCGTTGCCCAGCCTGGAGTGCAGTGGCGCGATCTCCGCTCACTGCAGCTTCCGCCTCTCAGGTTCAAGCAGTTCTCCTGCCTCAGCCTCCCGAGTAGCTGGGATTACAGGCGCCTGCCACCACGACCAGCTGATTTTTTGTACTTTTAATGGAGATGGGTTTCACTATGTTGGCCAGGCTGGTCCTGAACTCCTGACCTTGTGATCCGCCCTCCTCAGCCTCCCAAAGTGCTGGGATTACAGGTGTGAGCCACTGTGCCCTGCCGGAGCAGAATTGTTTATTACATTTATTCTTTCTCCTGCCTAACATTTTTGGGTTTTTTTTTTGGTGGAGGGGTGGGTAAAGGAGAATTTGTGTATTATATATGTGTATATAAAGTTGTATAGCATAGAATTTCATATGTATGTGCTCAATGTATTAAGTTTGTGAGAAAAATAGATATCATAAATTGGTGTGGTACATTCTGGTTTTAACGATTCTTTTGACATCCCTTAATTACATTCCGTCTTTAGGTTGCTTTATCTTACATTTTTTTGCCGGTACCAGTAATTTAGATTTGTAATTTAAATGTCTCCAAGTGGGAAGTTTTTAAATTTTTCTCATTAAAATTTTAATCATTTTATCATGTTTTTGAGTTTTTTTGTTGTTGTGGTTGTTTTGTTTTGTTTTGTTTT